TTGATTCCCTGCACAGGGTGTATATGAAGAAAAGAATTGCGAAGTGCCGGTCATATGATCAGTGGCACCTGAATCTAATATCCAGGATCCATTAGATTTGGTACAAGCAATGGCTGCAGTGAAAAAATTACCTGACTGAGCTAGAGAACAGGATGGGTTAGAGTTTCCTAACGATTGAGATTGAAACATTTTATATAAGTGCTCTATTTGTTCCTTTGTGAAAGGAAGAGACTTTGAGGATGATTGCTGCCCTGGATCCGAATTGCTTACTTGAAGCGCGCGGACATCTCCCCCTGACTTGTTGTCACTGCCTGATTTTTTCTTCCAACCCGCCGGTTTCCCGTGCAGCTTCCAGCAGGTTTACCGAGTATGCCATGGCTTTCTACAATGATCACACCAAGGCCTCTGCTTTCCTCCTCGTCTATCTCCGTCTAAGTCTGCACCTTGGGCCACAAGAGTGGACCCTTCATTCTCTGTTTTTGTTTCACTAACATTCTTCAACATCACTTGCAGCCGTGCTTCTTCTCTATGCACTTCTAAAAAAACTTCTCTTATAGTAGGCAAGGACTTTCGCCCTAAGATACGTCCCCAAACCTCATCGAGTTCTTTATTCAAACCAGCCAAGAAGACAAAAACCCGACCTCTCTCTATCTTCTTTTGGTACCGAGCACTGTCACTCGGACTTTCCCATTCTTCTTCTTCAAATAAATCCARCTCCTGCCAAACAGCCATCATCTCATTATAATAAGCAGTTACTTCACGTTYACCTTGCTGCATCTTCCACATTCGGGTATTCAGTTCGAACAGTTGTGAATGATTGTCCAAATCTGAATAGGGTTCCCTAACAGCTTCCCACACATCGTGAGCCGTCGGCAAGAACATGAATGGTTTTCCAACCACCGGATCCATAGAGTTGATCAACCAGGCGGTAACCATCGAATTTTCAAAACGCCACTGCCTGTACTTTGGATCATCAGTGGCTGGCGGTTTCACTTCGCCGTTCAAATAGCCGAGTTTCCCTTTGCCGTCGATCACCAACCGCACGGACTGAGACCATTCAAGATAATTTTTTCCATTCAATTTGTGAATGGTAATTTGAAGAGAATTCTCAGAAAGAGAAAAAGTCGCTGACTGAATACCTCCCTCCGAAGACGTCACACCACTGGTAGCATCCGAAGAGGCTGAACCAGAGCCAACCATGGCGGCCTTAAAATTCAAGATCGAACCCTAAAGCTCTGATACCATGTGGCGAAATATAGAGGGAGGAAAGAAGAAAATTTTCTTTATTGATGACTAAAACATATTGAGCATACAACTTAAATAAAGAAAAGATAGGAAAGGCAAACCCCTAGAATCTCTCACAATCAGGGATAGACTAAATCTTTCCCTTAATCCTAGGATATGGCTTTCCTAAATTTATTCAAATCTAATCCTTCCTAAATTTATTCAAATCTCTTAATCAATCAAAATCATATCTTCTTAATTTGCCGCAAATCCTATCTTTCTTAATTTGCTGACAACAAGCAAGTATTGGGTCTCTTCTTTTGGAGTAGATCACCCAAAGAGAGAGATGCTTTATCTATGAAGAAGAAATTGTATATATGTACTCTTCCATGTTTGGAAGCTATCAATCAAAAAAAAACTAAGAAATTGGCATCATCATTATCTAGTATTGCTTCCCAAGTTGTCAATGTCATCATCAACATATCACCATTGTTGCACTGAACTGTAGAACAAATCCTTTTTGTGAAAACCATAATTACATGATGGATTACAGGGTGACATTTCTACAGTAGACACTTCCCCTAGATGAATAGATGATCAACATCAATGTACTCAATTCAAGCATGATAAACAGGATTCTCTAACAGCTGGATCACAATTTGCACTCACAAGTCACACCTGCCACTCAATTATAGGGTCTGCTTCACAAACACTTGCCATATTCAGTGTCCAATGTGCCAGTCCCTGGATTCAGGATCCATCATTTATCTCAAGCCTTATTCTGAACCAACTGCCAAGTACCAAATAAACATACCTCTCCAAATATTGAAACTCAAGAAGGGAAGTAAATCTATGATCTTCCTGATTTTAATTGCACTCACTCTTATATTTGTCATTTTTTAAGTCATACTTTATCTTTTTTCTGGAAAACATATCAATTTTCATATTCCCAATTAGTACCGATTACTTGTGGGTCAAGGATGGAACCCCTTATATCATACTTGGACCTGTGCCTGACAAGACCCAGAACCAATGTATGTATAGGCCAGTCCTTGCCAAAATGGTTCAAACCCCCTACCCAAAACTCATGCAACAGCAAGAGTTGTCATCTGCAGTGCATTTAATATCTCTACAGTCCACTTGCATAATCTACAGTTCAATCTCTATCAGATAAACTACTCCATCTTCACATTGTAAAATAAATATTCAATGCAGTAATTATCAAAACATTAATATATTAAATGCCCTCCTTCACAAATCAATTAACACATCATCTTGAGATATCCAATAATGTTGATAGGAAAAGTCAACAAGATAAAGAAATTTTTGAAGATTGCCCCAGTTTATATTATATTATTCCAGGATTGACAGTCTCTCAACAACAGGACGTTATAAGCTCCCCCTAGATTCAACTTTTTTTATCCTTATGGGAAGCAATTTAATACGAAAACAAATGGATAATCATCAATGATGTGCAATACAAAAAGAATTCAAAGGTTGAAATGCTGATATAAATTCTTTTTTGTGTACTCGTGATACTGCTTAACAATTTTGCTATGTTCTCTATAAGATGGCAAGTTAAAACTTTCTTGGTGTATACTTCATAATGGGCTTTAAATAACATTTTTTGGGTAAGTAAATAAAAATGTCTTACTAAATAGAAATGAAGAGGTGCTCCCAAGGAATAAGAATGATAAATTAATGGGCCTCTCTCACAGTATTCAATTCCTACACCTATCCCACGGTCATTTAGGGAGCATTTAGTTTACTACAGATAAGTACTTTTGGAAACCAAACTATTGAATAACTTTGACAAGCAACTTAATGTGATAAGTTACCTTTTGAAAAGTAACTTATCATAAATCTACTACGAAGATGGCCCATTTTTTTCACTTAGTAGCTTATTTTGGTTAGAAGGCAAACCTGGTGGGCCTTCAAAAAGTACAGCTCGAGGCCTGTTTGTCTCAAATTTGCACCTAGTACCACGGGCAATGTCATCATATACTTCAGGACTATGTAGAGCCAATAGTATGGTATCCTCTATTTCTCTGTACAGTAATAGACAAAAAAATGATTTTCTACAAAAGAGTTTATTCCAAGTTGAAAAATAACTAATTTGACCATGCACATAATGAAAGTATTTGCAAATTGCTTGAGTGTCAAATGGAAAATTGAGGGGCAGTTCAAATTTATGCATGTTAACAATATACTAATTCTAGAAGGAAAAATTACAAGATTGAAAAGCACTGTATCATCTAAAACAATGTAGGATGGCTATCTAACCCTTTTTCATCTTTAACCAAATCTTAGAAATTGCCATGCTCCCTAATTGTTTGCTAAATTATCACCCATAGTTGTCAAGGTGTCACCTAGGCGCCCGCCTAGGCGACAAAAATGACAAGGTGGGTGCCTTTTATAATATCATTTATATTGTTGTATCTTATTAATGTATGTGTTAATACATTTTATCATATGCTATATATATATATATATATCAATTATACTTTGTTTTAATGTTTTACTATTGAAATTTAAAAGATCAAAGGGTTTTGAGAAGAGAAAAAGAAAGAAAGAAAGAAAAGAAAGAGGAAAGAAAGAATAGAATAATAAAGTTCTTTTTTTCTATTCTATCTCTAATTAAATAAAACAGAAACTCCATCCTTGTTTTTTTTTTCTATTTTACTTTCCATCTTAAATATTTATCATATAAAGTTAATGAACTTCTTTAGCTGCTAATTAATATGAATTTGCTCTATTAAATACTTATTATAGTAGTATTATTTTTGAAAATAATGAAATCAATATATGTAAAAGACTTTTATCTTTTAGATGTGATGATTTTTCCACATTTTTAGAGGAAATTTAATGTTCTTAATAAAAGGAATTGCTATTTTTTAATTAACATACATGCTGAATGGTATAGAAAACTAGGAAACAAGCCAAAAGTCCACTTTTTCTATTATAAAATTTGTATCGCCTAGGCCAGTAGGCACCCCAGTGTCGCCCAGAATCGCCTAGACGCCTTGAAAACTATGTTATCAATCATCTTTTTCCTGTTATTTGAAACTTATGGGTTATGGCAACAGAAACTTAAGATATATTACCACACAAGGAAACCTTGATATATACGGAATTGTTTCTAACTCAAGGCAATGGTATGCAGACAAGTACTCACGATTATGGATGAGTAAACTAAGCATCTAGAAGAAGACATCTATTGGAGTCTATTGCAAATTGCTTAGAGTGTTCCATCCCGTCTTGGCCCTTGACCTATTTAGGATTCCCCCTAGGTGCTAACCCAAAGGACAGCCGGTTTTGGAATATAGTTATGGAAAGTTTGAAAAAAGATTGGCGGCTTGGAAAAAGAACTACATTTCCTTGGAGAGTAGAGTGACTTTGATCAGGGCCACACTTGGCAACCTACCAATTTACTTTCTATTTGTTTTTTGGGTTCTTTCTAAGGAAGCTAAGAAGATAGAATTATAGAAAAGCTGATAGGGACACTTTTTGTGGGAGCTAGGGGGTAAGAGAAGAAGGATCATTTGATTAGGTGGGAGGTGGTTAGTCAAAGGAAAAGGGGGTTTGGAGTTAGCGAACCTTACTCATAAGAATGAAGCTCTCCTAGGGAAAAGGTTCTAGAGACGATCTTTAGAGAGGGAGAGATTGTGGCACAATTTGGCCGCTAGTATTCATGGTGTTCTGAAAATGTTGGAATGTTGGGGTATCTCAACGAGCTACTCCAGCAACACCTTGGAAGACAATACATGGTATTGCCTCTAGAAATCATGTTCTCTTTCAGGAAGACATTTGGGTGGCCAATCAACCTCTCAAAGATCTATTTCCCTCTCTTTTTTCTATTTCCCTTTATAAAAAAAAGTGTCTATTTATGGTTTTGTTTCTAATAAAGTTACTTTACCTTTTCAAAAAAAAAAAATTCTCTCCTCCCCAATTCCTCTATCTTTAAATTGGGATTTTGGATTCTGAAGAGGGTTCAAGGATGATGAATCCGATTGTGTTTTTGAGATTTTACTTTAATTTGACTCTGTTTGTTTGGACCTTCTCAAACTTGATAGAAGGATTTGGACCTTGACCTCAAAAGGTTCTTTTTCTTGCACTTCTTTTTTTCAAATCCCTTTGCTCTAACTATGTTCCTTGGGCATTCCCAGTCAAAGAAGTTTGGTCTATGCCTATTCCCCCTAAATTAGTTGTTTTTTATTGGGAAGTTTGCTATGGTAAGATTAATAGATTGGAAACTTGCAAAAGAAGAGACTCTTTGTGTTTCTCCCCAAATTGGTGTACTCTTTGCAAAGCACAAAACGGGGATTGTTACCATTTATTGATATCTTGTTCCTTTGCTACAACTATTTGGAATTGGGTTTTTGTTTTGTTTGGGTATAGGTGGAACCTGCCATCTAAAGTAAATATGTTGTTTAATCCATCTACCTTTGGGTGGCCCATGAAAAGAGGAAGAATTATGTTGAAATGTATTAGAGCAGCTCTCTTGTGGACTATTTGGGAAGAAAGGAATTCAAGAATATTCCAAGAAAAAGAATGCATATTGACAAGGGTATTTCTTTGGCTGAAATCTTTAAAACTCTTTAAGAGTTTCTCCTTTGATGCTGTAGAGAAACTGATGTGGGCCACTCTGTCCGTAGGGTAGAATATACCTAGTCTATCTGTTATTCTAGTTCTAATATTTACTTTTCAGGTTTTTATATTGTTAAGTGTTATGATGTAAATACCAAGGGCAAATGTGTCCTTTCATGTAACTAGCATAACATATAAATATTAAATTGAAGTGGCGGCGGCAGATGATTCAAAATCTGTCCTTCCTTTCAAACCTGTGTTCTACTGCTCTCTCACTAATCTTTCTCCTCTTTCTTCTTCACTTTCTCTTCTGTTCGAACCTGAAATTCCTTAGTGTCCAAGACTGATAGCAGTCTTGATCATCTTCAGATGCTATACAGAGGAGTTGGTCAGCAGTGGCTATTACTTTTTCTAAGAAGATTAGAATTTAAACAAGATGGACACCTCCTAATGGAGGGTTTTGTAAAGCTAAATTTTGATAGGAGTAGTTAGGGCAATCCAGGACCTTCAAGCATAGGAGGTGTTCTGAGAAATGAGGACAGCAACATTCTCACTTTATTTTCAAGCTCAATGGATATAGGAGACTCTACAAGGGCTGAGCTTTTCTAGCTGTTGTACAAGGGACACAGATTGCAAACCATCTTGGAGTGGAGAATTTACTAATTGAAGGAGATGCTGAGGTTGTTGCGGGGTGGTTGTCGAACCCAAATACTGTCACTTGGGGCTATAGGAACCAAAAAAGTTAAGGGAAAATCTCTTAAACTACCCCTACTGTTCACAATATCCCTTACATTACCCTTGAGTTTTCTGACAATTGGCATCGCCATTAAACATTAACAGAAATATTGAAAATGTCTATTTTGCCCTTCATTATTCTTCAAATTTTCAAATACATGTCACACCTTTGACAGTGTTAGAGCAGCAAATCTAAATGAAAACCTTCAAAATTTTCAAATACATGCCCTCAAAATTTTAGGGCAAAAATGGGTTCAACTTGATTCCCCTGCCTTCAAGATTTCTTGCTACCAATTCCCTCGTTCATTATCAAAACCTGTCAAACAAAGTTCCTTTCTGAGTAATAGGTCCACAGTTGCACCCATCCCACACCATATTGAAGCAAATTAAACGGAAATATACCCTGCCCCTAGTATAAGAGCTCATTTGGGTAATTCATCCAAGCTCAAAGCCTCATTAGAAGTGATAGTCAATTCCTGCCCAGGGATGTGTATGCTGGGCTATGCCATGCCGGTGGCAATCAGTATATGCTTTGTAGAATAAGACAGTTCAGTGCCATCTATTTGTATCACCTCAACTTCATGAGGGCCAATCCCTTACCTTCAAACAATTTAACCCCGGAATTTGGTATTAACCTCTTGTATATTCCATTTACTCTTGGTATCTCCCTCTGAAGTTCACCTTCATAAGATGCTCCATATACCAATATCTTTTTAAAAACACAACCATGAATAACGCACGTTCCACCAATTCCACCTTTTCCCTTCTGAGCTGATTGAGTTAAATGGAAGCTCACAAATTGAAACCTTAGCTCTGAATCCAACAGAAGTTCTAGTGGTGTGCACTCCACCGCTTCCAGTGCTGATTACAGACAGAGCAAAATCGTATTGTGCATCTTCTTCATTAGAGTTGCAGACCTCTTCATCAATAAGCATCGTCCTCGACATGGTTCCACAACCAAATAAACTGAACAGAATCCATCCAAATTTGCTTTTCTTTGTTTACTTTTACAAAGAGAATCAAATGAAATAGTGTTTGATTGGTCAATCACAAGTTCTAAACCCACCATTGGAAACAAAAAAAACAAAACAAAGGACAAACAAAATGTAGCAGTCATTGATATGTGAAAACCTATTTCCAATGAGCACATAAAATCAAATTCTAAATAGATTATTTAAAGTGGACCAAATCAGCCAACCACAGGAGCAATTGTAAGTAACTTTTCTGCAGCCATTTGGAGGAAATGATGGAGACCCAAGAATAATCATATGAGGAAACCCAAAAAAAAACTATGCAGGGATACAGAATTGGGTAGCACCTTGACACTACTGGGTATTCTTGAAAATATTTTCTTAGACCCTACAAAGGAAAATAGCAGAATTTTGACTCCTTCGGGTTTCTTCTCTTGTGCCTCATTTTTTAAAACCTTAACTCAACCAGTTGCTTCTCCTGGCTTGTCTTTCCCTATTAAAGAGGTTTGGTGTACACCTATTCCTCCACAGGTTGGGAGTTTTTGTTGGGAAGTTTTCCTGGAAAGAATCAACACAAGTGATCTGCTTCAAAGAAAGAGACCCAAAAGTTGTTTATCCCCACATAGGGGTATTCTCTGCAAGTCTAATGAGGAAACTGGTTATCACCTATTTGTATCCTACCATCTTGCTAAAACTATTTAGGAATGGGTTTTCTCTCTTTTTGGGTGTAGCTGGAAACCCCCACTAAATGTGCAAAGCTTGTTTACACCTTCTTACTTCAGTTGGTCAATGAAAAGAGGAAGGATTATGTGGAGGTGTGTAAGGGTTGTTGTATGTTGGCCTTTATGGGAAGAAAGAAATTCAAGAACCTTCTCAGGCAAGGAGAGAATCCTTGAGAATATCATATAGCTAATCCACATAAGAGTGGCATATTGGCTGAAATCTTTGGACTTGTTCACAAATTTCACTTTGGATGAATTACTAAGAAACTGGAAAGAGATTGCAAGTCAATGGATTTATAAAACTAAACTTCGATGGTAGTAGCATCAGGAATCCAGGGCAATCTGGTATTGAGGGGGTTTTCAGGAATGAGGATGGGAATGTATTAACTATTTTCTCAGGCCCAATTGGAGAAGGTGACTCTCTTAGGGTTGAGATCCTAGCAGCCTTGGAAGGAATTCAAAGAGCTAAAGAATTGAATATTAGTAAGTTGGTAATTGGAGGTGACTCAGAGGTGGTAATAGGTTGGTTAAAAGAAGACAAGAACAAATTGTGGAGTTACAACAAGGAAAAGAAGAAACTTAAATGGCTCACTAAGGACATTGAGGTAAAGTGCAGTTAGGCAAAGAGAAGTGCCAAGTCATTTGCTAATGGTTAGCCAAGCAAGGGGTGAATAGAGAATCCTTGTTCTGGGCTCACTTCTAATTGTTTTTTTTTCTTTTTCTTTTGGTGGTCTCAACCTCTCCTGGGGGAGTTAAGATTGTTTATCTCCCCCTTCTTGTACTTAAAGCTTTTGATTAATTATTTGTTATTGATCAAAAAAAAAAGAGAGAAAATGGAGATTATCTTTAGAATCCACTACCTTACTAGGAGTATCAAGAAATACAAAGGTAGCCTAACATGTGGAACAATGACCTCACATAAACATGATACTTTCTTGTCGTTAAAAAAACAAGACATGCTTAAGTCAAAGGATAAACAATATCACCCAATGAGTGCATGCCCGGGTGAAGGCATGTCTGTTGTTGTTACACCAAAAGATACAAGAATAACCCACTATATATAAAATAGAGGCTACCTCTAGGATATATTACCAAACTTAACTATGACAATCAAGTAATACCAAGGTAGCTTAATGTGTAGAGTGATGCCTAGGCAACAAGGCACTCATGGAGGGTTGCCTTAATCACTAAAATGTTTTTTACACGGTGCTGCTGGATACTTTTGTTTTCTTAACTTTCAGAGATTATGATAATAAACCAGACATTATTAAACTGATTTATTTAATTTGAGTTAAAATACTAGTTTATTATTATTTTTCTTATTTGCTAAGATTCAATGAAGACTTCAAAACCTGAATTAACAAGCATGGAAGAACTCAAAATCTTGTCCAATCAACAAATAGTGATTTTCTTGTTTCATCCTTTCTTTTTTCTCTTCTTTTCTTTTCTTTTTTTCCTAGTACAAAAGTAGAGATGGTTGTTGTTTGCTGTGCAACAAGAGGAATTACATTAGGATTCATAGTTCTTATTCAAAAAAATCCCATCACCTAGGCAATCAGGTGACAAGGCACCCTCTATTGCCTAGATTTGCCTTGGTGCCTTGAATGCTATGGGCATGACACAAAGTGTTCCATTACCTAGGCATGTAAGGTGTAGTTCATAAATGCAAGAAGCATAAGCCTCCTCAAGAGGAAGAAGAGTTCTTGCTTTTCTTGTTTCTTTTTAATGAAATATGCCTTGTATTAAAAAGAATGAGGATGCATAACACTAGAAGAAAGGGTGCTAAGCCCAGACTTGCGCATGATCATCCCTACCCAATGTCCACCGAAACAAGAGGAAGTCACGTCTTTGGTTTGATCTTGTGGGTTAAAGATTAGCAACTTAATTTGTAGAAAAGTGCAAGTTTGCTGCTCAGAGAAAGGGAAAAGGAAGAACAAAAGAGTCATATGGAAAGAGAGGTCAAATATTAAGAACTTGTGATTTAACAAAAGCTATGGCCCTAGATAGGATTGAATGGCAACTCGGGTTCTAAGCATATGATTGTCAAAAGGTAAAGTTTCTGACAACTACGTTTCAGTGCATATGGCATTTCATTAATTTCTTGTAGTGATATTATTGGAAGTAATATATTATTCATGACAACTTTTCCCTTTAATGAAATATTTATTTCACTATAAAAACCCATGTCAACTATGGTTGCAAAGAAAATTAATCCTACTAAAGTTTGCATCTTCAATTCTGTCCCAAGACCCTATCATATAGTGCACTGACATCTTAATATAAAGGAAAGTACAATCTAAAAGGAATACTGCATTCAGGAGCAACTCGAGTTGTAGTAAAAATATCATAAATATTTCTTTCTTTACAATACCGTTTTTGCTCATCATATCCTGCAATGTTGTCCCATGATATCCCATCATTTGGGGAGCCAGCAAGGGGTTCTGTAAGTCCAAAAATTCTCACTCCCATGGCCTCAAGAGTAGCCATAGATTTCTCTGTAGAAGGTAACTGTGCAGTATCTGCTTTCTCCCGTTTATCCACATATCCCCTTGGCCTTCTTTCCAAAGGTTTCCTTGCACCTGCTCTTACGCCAGCTAATTTTAATGCAGAAACTAAAGCATCAAGTTCCTTTGCACTAAAACTCCCCTTCTTGATGAATTCAATTTCCTGAAACAACTCATATTATTTATTATCTTTTCTTTTAGGTAAATAACATAATCCAGTATCAGAAACTAAAACATAACAAAGTTCATAATCATGTAAGGATTCAACCTGAAAAAAGGGAAAACTGCTTCAAAATATATTGCTCCTGAAAATATTAGAAAAAAAATATATGAACTAACCGCATTGTCAGCGCTAATGAGCGACTGAAACACAAGAATGCATAGATCTCCCCCACATTCATCATTGGCATCTATAAATCCCCCATCTCTTCCAACCTCCTGCTTTTTGGGCTGACGAAGTGTTAGCTGCCATGCAACTGCACTGAAATATGTAAAAGAAAAGGGGGAAAAACTTTTTATCAGTTCATAGAATCAAACTTATTTTTTATGAGACATATAATTTCAGTTTTAAATTAAAAAAAATATCAGCCATGTTTAACTAGTAAAGAGTGAAAAAACAAAAGAATCAAAAATTGCTTCAGGGAATTTTAGGCCGACTCTCTTTCAAGAGAGTAGTGTATTATCGTGTTCTCTTGCCAACTACACTTTGTGATTGCTCCTTAGTGGGCATTGACTCTCTGATATTGAACTCAAACCAATGTCAGCAAAAGCTGTGCTGCATCTTGTGTTAGGGACCATTGGTTTGGTGATACCAGTGATTTAAAAGGCACGCCTAGGCGCAGAGACGAGGCGCATTTTGAGGTATGTGCATCGCCCAGCTCCTTGGTGCACCCCTTTGAAAAGGCGCACCAGACATGCGCCGGATGTGCCTTGCACCTCAGCCCAGGTGTGCGCTTTTTGCTTTTTTTTAGTCTAACAGCTGGGTACAAAGGCAACCCATAGAATCAAGAATGCAATATGTTTTACATCACATTAGCAACTTGAAGCAAATAGGTTTTTTAAAACATTTATTTTAAAATTTATGTTTATATTTTTTACTAACATTATGTTTAATATTTTTTGAATTTTTTGCATTTTTTTATTTTTGGCATTTTTTTGAATTTTCTGACTTTTTTCATTTTTTAGCTTTTTTTTTGTAATTTTGCACCTTGCTTAAAAAGGCGTGTGCCTCGCCTTGCACCTTGCACCTCAGGCGCAAATTGGCCCTTGTACTTTTAAAACACTGGGTGATACAATCAGATATAATCATGCATCCCCTCTAATCCTTTTCAATAGACTTTGAGAGGATCAAGGCATTGATCTTTGTTTTCAGAAGAACATTACTGAGGGAAACACATAGATTTCCATTGGTTGGATGACAGATTTATCTTCAAGAACATAAAGGCTTGGCCTCAGCTGTGGTGTCCAGACTTAACCCCTCATTCCAATGGGTTCCAAAATCCAATAACTTAGTTATGGATAATCTTGCTTGAGAGGATGTGGAAGAGTGTTGTGGGGGACTAATATTGCTGATTTAGAAACTTTGGGTTAGATAGGGCATTGTAGATCATAAGGGCTTTCTACCTTCCTTTCTTCTTCTTAATGCAAGACTTCTCTATTTGCCTTAGAAATTCCTTTATTTTGGTATTTCTTTTTTTTTTTTTTGATAAGTGTGAAAGTATTTCATTCAATAAAAGAGAGGGTGAACCATCCTCAAAATCATGTACAAAAAGATCCTTTACAGATATATCTTTAACCTCCAGCTATACAAAGGATAACTACATCAAAATCATGATAGAATCCCATCTGTTTAAGAAACCATCCAACGGGTGTCTCTGAAAGGAGCTAAAACCTGCACCAACAGCCACTCTAATTTGCTGATAACACCATTGATGAGAGCAGCCTTATTTTAAAAAATGTGGCTGTTGCTCTCCTTCCAGACCCCCCAGCAGAGAGTAAAAAGGAAGAAGACCCCATAAAACTTTTTTCCTCTAGTAGAAAAACCTGCTGAGGGCCAAGAGGCCAAAAGAGATGGCAAATCAAGGGGAAGCACCCAACTTCTGGAGAACATCTGGAGAAAATGTGCCCACACTGAATAGGTAAATGAACAGTGAAGGCAGATGATTCACTGACTCTTGCTTAGAACCACATAAACAGCACAAACCCTCTAGCATGCCTCTATTTAGGAGATGATCAGATGTTAAAGCCTTGGCCCTTGCTGCAGTTCACAAGAACACCACATTGCGTGGAGCTTGGACTTTCCATAACCAGGCCCAAGGGACAGTGGGAAGTGAAGGTGATAACACCACATTGTAGCAAGACTTGGTTGAAAAAAGACCAGATCTGTCCCCAATCCAAAGTCTACAATCTGCCTCCTCAGGAAAGATGCGGAAGGCTTGTAACCTGGCCAGTAAAGCACTAAGATCCTCCACCGAGGGGAACCAAACCAGCCAAGGGTCGGTGTTGTTGGACTTGGTCCTTTGCAGTTTGACATCACATTGAGAAACCAGGTTTTTTCTTTTTTTTTTTTTTGTGGAGAAAAGGTAATGTAACTTTATTAAACTCTAGAAAGAGCAGAAGTACAACAACAACAACCCCCCAATACAAGATTAGAATTCAATTAAGCTCCTTGACCTCAACAGAGACCCTAGGCCAGAGGTTTGAAGCCCTTTTACAACTGAACCCCAAAAAACCAGCTTTCCAAAAGAAAAGGAAATTAAAACATCCAAATCTTTAGAAACATTATGGAACAACCATCTATTCCTTTCAGACCTGTTAGTGTCGAGTATGTAGGGGTATTTCTCTCTTTGTGCTTGTGTTTAAGTGCTGATGTGTAAGTTTATGTTAGATTTAATGTCCCTAACTTAAGTAGGGGCATATGTGACTTTTCCACATTATTTTAGTAATATAAAATACATTTGGCCGAATGGGAGAGTGTGCTTTTTCTCTCATTCAAACCAGAATCTTTTCTCCTCGTTTCTCTTCTGCTCTTCTCCTTTCTCTCTTTCTCTCTTTCTCTCCTCTCTTCTCTCTCTCTCTTCCTTGACTGTTATCAGTCTAACAGGCAGACCAAACACTAACATGGTATCGGAGCTGAACTGAGCAAATCGGATCTGCCCAGAATTCTGTTATCTGCACACCCAGCCTAGGGTTTTCTCTTGTTTTCTTCGCCATCAACTAGAGATAAGGGAAAGGGCTGAAAATGAGTGATCGCTCTCTTCCCTTGGAGGTTTCTATGCCTCCAGTTGTGGTGTTTGTGGTCGGTTGCTGCAGTTTCTAAGAAGCCCTCCCCTAATCGATGAAGAGAAGAGGGCTGATTTGTGTGATGCGGTGGGCGTCTTGTGTGGTCTGATTTTCGGGTGATAAGGTAAGAGGCTTTATGCACTTTTTCTTGGTGTGAATCAAATGAGAAGTCTATTTCAGACTGTATGGTGGGATTTCAGATTGTAGTGTGCTAGGGTTTGTGCACCCTTCAGTGTCATTCGAAGGGGGGGGGGTGTTTCTCAAACAATGTTGTGAAGTTTCAGGCAGTCGTGGAGTTGGGTTTGTAGTGTAAAGAGCGCAATTTGCAGCAGTAGTAAGTGCTCAAATCAGTGTGTAGTGTGATCTAGTGTGCAGTTTAACGAATTCAGCCATGGGAGACAACAGTGATAGCAAGACTAGTGTGATGGTCCCTACTGACTACCTAAATGTTCAAATGACCTCCATTAAGCTGAATGGAGAAAATTATGTACCTTGGGCCAAATCTGTAGAAGTCTTTCTTAAGGCAAAGAAGAAGGTGAA